TAGATAAGAATGGCATTAGTATGAAAATTTGGGACATTTTGAAGGCCCATTTTAGATAAGAATGGTCCATGTGGGGGTATTTTGAAAGCCCACATCATCAATAAACAATTTTAAATGCATTTTGAACATTCATATCAGCAAATGTTGGAGCATGCTAAAGGCCTATATATTGCAGAAAGATCATTGATTTGAGCAAAGATTTCCAATGAGATAGAAAGGTATGGAGAATGAAAATGGTGAAACAGTGATAGTGGAGTTGATTATACATAATTGCTTTGTTCATCATACAGTTGCATTATTATGGTGATTCAATACTGGCAAGCAAAATCATCCCACTTGTATTCCCACTGAGTTTTGTTCTTAAGTGTCCTTGTGATAACCTACAAAAGCTCTAAACACTATACAAATAGCTTCATTGATTGAGAAATTTGAGAAGAAACCATAGAAAAAGATGAATGTGTTATCAAATGTTTTACGAACCAGTGATTATAGTGTTGAACCAATGTTGTGATCATATGATGTTTTTTTAACCCAAGATGAAGTTGGTCTTCTTCAACCCCAATATTCAAAACTTCGAGAAATGATGAAATTTTAACAACAAGAAACTAATGGAGCCAACTAAGGTTGAACAATAGGTTGTTGTTAAGCATCTCGACATGATATGGTCTGAATGGCTTTGTTCGAGATCCAATTAAATGTGGAGACATTAAAGGAATTAGGATAAATCCTCCTTGTGATGTGTTTCAAGAGTCAAATCAGAACAGACATTGCTCTCCTAATTAATCTATGTGGAGTTTGGCATATCTACATCTACATTCTTCAAAGATAAGAGCTTTATTGGATTTCTACACAAGTCCAGGCGAAGAAAGCCGGTGTTATCAAAGACAAAATAAGGCAACAAGGTCATAATTCTAACTATGGCAATAGTTCCACAAATAAAACATTTCTTTTGAGACTTTAATAAAGCAAAGAAGACACAAAGATGCAATTGGATCAGATGGTTCTTCAGAAATACAAGTTTGATAGCATAAGTTGCTACAATGATATATGAAGAAAACCCTGGAAATGAATGATCAAGTGGAAAAAGACTGAGTTCGCCACTTTGAAGTCAAATGAAGATTGCATCCACATTCATCCTGGAAATGAATGATCAAGTGGAAAAAGACCGAGTTCACCACTTTGAAGTCAAATGAAGATTGCATCCACATTCATGCATTCATAAGAACATCATTTGCATAATAGAAAATGCATTATATTGATACATTTGGTTGCATTCAAATATGATGTTTTTACAGATTTTCATATCAAAAAAGGAAGATTCATGATGAAAAATACCTTATAAGTAGAAGGTAGAATTCAAACCTCAAATAAAAGAATCACTTCAGGAGAGGCAAATATCTAAAGAATAGATGGTTTCAATCCACAAGTGAAGCATTATTTTGAAGTGGGACATGTTACCTAACTAACAAGTTGAAAAAAATGATGAGAAAACGATTTCCAAAGTTTCTCATTTAATCTTTTCTGAAAATGAAATTGTTGAATAGTAAGAAAATAATTTCCAAAGTTTATTACTTAGTAAACTATTTCCCAACTTTGTAAATCCTTTGGGTCATCAGTAAGTCTTTCGAGTATGATGCTTAAATCCTTCGGGTCATCTGTAAGCCTTTCGAGCAAGATGATAAGTCCTTTGAGCCATATATAAAACCTTCAGGTAGGATGTTTTCAAATGAGATTTTAAAAATTAAGCATGTTTTAGGGGCTTCTTAATTATCTCAAAAGAGTTGTTAAAGGAAACTAAGCCTTTTAAGGGGTTCCTTGATAACTAAGAAGCTAAGCTTAATTTTCAAGGGTTTCTTGCTTTGTAAATCCTTCGGGTTATCAGTAATTCTTTCAAGCATGATGCTTAAATCCTTCGGGTTATCTGTAAGACTTTCGAGCAAGATGATAAGTTCTTCGGGCCATTCATAAGACCTTTAGACAGAATGTTTTCAACATTTTCGTTGATTGATTCACGATATTTCGAATCAACAACGTATTGCTTGCGAAAGTTTCACTCGAAATAGCAATTTGTCTCACTCGAGATTAAAGTAAATCCTTCGGGTCATCAATAAGTCTTTCGAGCATGATGTTTAAATCCTTATGGTCTTCTGCAAGCCTTTCAAGTCAGATGATAAGTCTTTTGAGTCATCCATAAGACCATTGGGCAGAATGTTTTCAACATTTCCAGTGGAGAGTTCATAATAAGAAGAACTCGTCCGAAGAGGAATAAGAAGTTCAGAATCTGAAGAACTTATTCAACCTTTTGTTTGATTCTATCGCAGAAGGAGATAGAGTAGCATCAATATTTACAAAAGGAGTTCGTAATAAGAAGAACTCATCTGAAGAGGAAGAAGAAGTTCATAATCTAAAGAACTTATTCAACCTTTTGCTCGATTCTATCGCATAAGGAGATAGAGCAGCATCAACATTTACAGAAGGAGTTCGTAATAAGAAGAACTCATCTGAAGAGGAAGAAGAAATTCATAATCTGAAGAATTTATTCAACCTTTTGCTCGATTCTATCGCAGAAGGAGATAGAGCAGCATCAACATTTCCAGAAGGAGTTCGTAATAAGAAGAACTCATCTGAAGAGAAAGAAGAAGTTCATAATTTGAAGAACTTATTCAACCTTATGCTCGATTCTATCACAGAAGGAGATAGAGCAACATCAACATTTCTAGAAGGAGTTTGTAATAAGAAGAACTCATCTGAAGATAAAGAAGAAGTTCATAATCTGAATAACTTATTCAACCTTTTGCTCGATTTTATCGCAGAAGAAGATAGAGCAGCATCAACATTTCTAGAAGGAGTTCGTAATAAGAACTCATCTGAAGAGAAAGAAGAAGTTCATAATCTGAAGAACTTATTCAACATTTTTCTTGATTCTATCGCAGAAGAAGATAGAGTAGCATCAATATTTCCATAATGAGTTCGTGATAAGAACTCATCTGAAGATAAAGAAGAAGTTCATAATCTGAAGAACTTATTCAACCTTTTACTCGATTTTATCGCAGAAGAAGATAGAGCAGCATCAACATTTCCAGAAGGAGTTCGTAATAAGAAGAACTCGTCTGAAGAGGAAGAAAATGTTCATAATAAGAAGAGCTTATTAGAGATTCCATCACAGAAGGAGATGAATCAATATTCACAGTAGAAGAGTTCATAATGAGAAGAACTCATCTGAAGAAGAAGAAGAAGTTCATAATGAGAAGAACTTGTTCAACATTTCCGTTTTAATCAAGAGAAGTCAACTGGACAAAAACTTTTTATCTTTTTATCTTTGCCCTATTCTTGTTAACACAAGAATGAGCAAAGAGGGGCAGCTGTATACACTAATTTTTTATCACATTTTTTATTCGTATTATTATTATTTTATCAATATTATTATTTTATTAATATTATTATTAATATTATTATTATTACAGGCCGTAATACAAAGTAAAATTGGTTCCAAATTACAAAACCGGCTCAATAATCAAACCCGGCCTAGGTCTAGACCCGGTCCGGCCCAGACAACCCGACCCAGCAAGGCTCGAATGCGGTTAGGGTTTCCCATACATATCCAGCCGTCAGCTCTATCAACCGTTGGATCTGGTACGATCCAACGGTCCATATATCTTCCAGCAGAAACCCTAGGGTTCACCAACCCTAGGGAGATTTCGGCTCCGCCTTCAACTACTCCACCTCCATGTCCCTCTGACCAGCCGCTGCCACGACGTTGTAGCCACAATCGAAGACTCTAGAAGACGAGGACGGCCACCCACGTCTCACTGCACTATGGTGAGTCACCGCCATAGCTTCGGTGACTCACCATAGATTCACCTAATGAACAACACAACGAAGGCTATAAAAAGCCTCGATTAACCTGCAAAAGAAAAAGGAGGAAGCAACATGAACACACACATAGTAAAAACGGGGAAATCAAACAACAACAGAGGAAAAGAGAGCAACCAATCAGTGGTAACCAAATAAAAGAAGAGATCGAAAGAACTTACCTGATCCCCAGAGTCTCCACGCACTTTCGGAGAATTGAATCGTCAAAGGTACAACTCCAGATCTAGGCCGATTTGATAGTTTTTAGTATAAACGGTTCTCGATTTCGGCTTTAGGGTAAAATTTTATTTTTGGCCACCGTAAACGGTGGCAGGTGGTTGTCGGTGGCCGGCTTTCTCTTCTATGAGGGAAAACCAGAGAGAACGAGAACTTTTCTCTCTTTAGTAATATTTATATTTAAAAATAATTTGAATTAGGGTTATTAATTTAGAAATTTTGCAATTTAATTTTATAGTTTTAATTTTCTTTATTTTGGTCATTATTTAATTGAAATTTTACTTTTTATTATTACCCTTAAAGTTTTAATATTTTTAATTTAGTATTTTAATTATTATTCTTCATTTTATATTTATTTAATTTTAGATTAATAAGTATTATATGATTAATTTAAAAAATTGATTAAATAATAATATTTATTTATTTTAAATATTAAGAAAGGGTTTCTTAAAGTAACTAGATGTCTTATTATGGTATTTTAAAATAAATAAATATCTTGTTTATAAAAACCTAAAAATATACTTACTTTAATTTTGGTTATATCAAATTAATTTTTATTGAATTCTTAGAATTTTCTATAATTGAATCTGGAATAATAGGATCATAAATTAAATTCATATTCGAATTCTTAAACTTCCACTAGTAGAGACAATTTATAATCAACGGGTATCAATTTTAGACGTTGTGGGGGTGCTAATCCTTCCCTAAACGTAACCGACCCCGAATCCCTTTTTATTACTAAAAAGAATGAATTTCTGGTTATACGCATACTGGTTTATCTTTTAAATGATGTTTTCTTAAAAACTCTTTTAAAAGATGATTTTTAGGTATTCGACCTACCTAACCTAAAAGGTCAATTGTGACTCCAAGTCATTTAAAGATTGAAAACATTTCATTCACTTGCTTTTTCACTAGGAAAATTCGTGTCCTGGCGAAAACCGGTTACGACAACTATCATCATCAGAATCATGCCGTGAATGACGACTTTGATCCCTATTTCTACACCTATCATTTTCAGATTCCAGCACTCTATCATCACTTCTATTCTCTACTTCCGTACTTTTGAGGGACCTTCTACGGCCATCCTCATTACCATCATCATCCGAATGATGCCGTGAATGACAATGTCGATCCCTATTTCCATTCAAATCATTTTCAGATTCTGGCTTCCTATCATCACTTCTATTCTCTCCGGTTTTTCTGCGGGACCTTATTCTTCGATCCTCGTCCTCATTATTCGAATCATGCCATGAGCGACGGCTTTGATCCCTATTTCTATATCTATCATTTTTAGGTTCCGTCTATCATTACGCCAACCCCTACATCCAATGTGGTGCCTATTACTTCTATCCCTTTCACCCCTCTTATCTTCGTTGTCCCTCTTCTCTTCTGATTCATCAGACGATTCAGAATTCCCCTCCAATTTTCCTCTCCGCCTATTCTTATCATCATCATCATCGCGAATTCTTTCTCGATCACGCTTCCTACCCGTAACTGTACACTTGCGACTTGTCATCATTTTCTTCTTTATCAGAAGATCGAGAACGCTCGCTCTGCCGATTCTCCTCATGATCACCGTGATTTCTTCCTCTTTCTCGTTTTCATCTTTGCCTTTTGCGACGGTTGCGATATCGGTTTCCCTCGTCGCTCGAATTATCGTCACTAGATTCAATATTATGTTTTCTAGCCATTGTTTCGAAGGTAAAAAAAATCCATTATGGAAAAGCTGCAATCTTCTGCCCCCCGCCCCCTTCGACGAAGTGATGTTCGATAACGAATCAAATTAGTTGAAACCGCTCAAACTCAAATAAAAGCGGCAGGGAGGAAACGCTCCATTTCAAATTCGCCCATGGAACAGGCTACTCCACCAAGGTCCGTGAGGATTTAATATAAACGTTTGGGTAAACTACACCATAGGTAATTCTATTATTAATAAGCTTACAATTGATTTTATATTTCAAAAGTCATAATTAAATCACTTAATTAATTTATTGTATCGTTAAATCTCTGTCAGATTGGATAAACATATTATTTTCTAAAGTCTCGTGGTCTCAAGTTGGAGGAGCAAGATTATTCAAGGTAACACCTCACAAATTAAAAGATTGTTAGTTCAGGATCTTATTTTTCAAATGTGAAAGAGTTGCTCATTTCGAAGTTTCATATCCTTAAGTTAGAGGAATTTTATTTTCTTCGAATAAAACAAGTGATGTCAATGGGTCGGGTTTCGTGAGTACCCGTACTTGCACCAATTAGAGGTGAGCAAAACTCGACACAACTTAAGTTAGAGGAATTTTATTTTCTTCGAATAAAACAAGTGATGTCAATGGGTCGGGTTTCGTGAGTACCCGTACTTGCACCAATTAGAGGTGAGCAAAACTCGACACAACTCAAAAAATTGATTCTTTTAATTTCTAGTTATTCGATTCAACTCGAATTATCGATTCAGTTTTTGAGTTCGAGTTTGAGTTGAAATTTGGAAATTTCGAGTTCCTCGAAAAACAAAAAAAATAGCTGACTATTTTAACATTTTTACGATTTAATCAACGATTCTCTTATTCCTTTAATTCCTCCTCCATTTTAAGCCTACTTTTACAAAATTTGAATCACATGCTCGTAAACCATCGTAGAATACTAATGTGCTTTCAATTCCTCTTTTTGATACAAATTTTCAATTTAGTCCCTCAATTTTTCATGATTTTCTTATTTCTTCAATTCATCCTTAATTTTAAGTCCATTTTTTTACCAAATTTGAAACACATGTTCTTATACTACTACTATGTAACTGCAATTTCTATTTTTTTACTGAAAATATACTCTCTTTTTATTTAGTCTATTAACTTTGCATTTTACTCAATTTGACCTTTTGATTGTAATTGTTTACAAATTATTTATTCTCACCAATTAATTCATTGACTCTTTTATACTTTATTAATATTTTACCCTTAAAATATATTCTTTAAAATATAATATTATAAATATATTTTATAATTTTATAATTTTAAATTATATTTTATAATTTTAAATTATATTTTATAATTTTAAATTATATTTTATAATTTTAAATTATATTTTATATATTAAATAATATTACAATGTGAAATCACAATAATTAATGAATCCGAAATCAGTGAGAGCAAATAACGCCCGACATATTTAACAAACACCAGACCAAAATCTGGAAAAGATGACAACTAATCTAAAATAATAGTATTATTTTCATCAACAACAAAAATACTAATATAATAATGATTCACAAATAAAATACAGGAAAATGTGCACGTCCCCATTCTCCTCAATCATTTGGTGTTAGAATTATCCAATTAAAAGCAAATTATTAAAATACATCAAATCTGGTTTGAAAAATGTGCACGTCCTTTTGCTGCTTCTGCAATTCCCTGACATTCCTCTCTCTTCTCCTTCTTGGACTGTGCATTCAAATTAAACTAGGATGGACATGGGACCAACCTGAAGGATTTCGACCCGATTCAATTCGATTGGGTTGGGTCTTTTAAAAAAATTTGGGTTCGGATTATTTTTTTAAATGTGATGTTTGGATAGAGTTGCGTTCGAGTTTAGGGTGAAAAATATCCGATCCGACCTGAAAAATTATAATATTATCTTATATATTTATGAATAATTATAATAAAAGCCCTCTATATATTTTTTTTTTCAATTAAGTCACTATTTTTATTAAATAAAATAATATTTTTTATTATTTAGGATCAGGTCGGATTTTTAAGTTATATATCGGGTCGGGTTCGGGTCGGGTGAAATCTTGTTTTGGTCGGGTCGGGTCTCAGGTGGAGGAATCTTTGTTCTCGGGTAGGGTCGGGTGGACCAAAAACCCGACTCATGCCCATCTCTAAATTAAACTGATGTTTTATTCTCAATTTAGTCCTTTAACTATATATATTTTCTATTTTGGTCGCATTCAATCATAAGATTCTAATAAAAATGTCACATATCATGTTTTTATGGTCTATTTTTTAGTGAACTTGGATGAAAATATTAATTGAGTAATAAAATGAGACAGAAAACATTTAGATGCTAAATTAAAAAAGGTATATTTGAAGGATCAATCCTTGAATTAAACTTTAAATTATGTATTAAAATTTATTTTTCGTTAATCAATTAATGATAATAACTTGATTCGATCAATAATTAATCTAGGGTTATTTTTATTTTATTGTTAATATTTTTGGGGCACATGTTTTGGATACTTTCTGTTTGGGTATTAGCATACAACGAGACAAAAGAGGAATATTGGCTGTTATGAAGTTAATTTTATTTGGTATATTTTTAAGATTTGTACATTTTCACATTGAATTTTGACGTGACATTTTTATTTAAACTTTTTAATTTTTGATATATTTCTTATGAATTGAAAATATCTAACATTCTCCAAAGATGCCTTAATAATACTCCAATTCATTTCAAACACTGATAATAATAATATATATTTAAATAAAAAATGTTAAGATGACATGTAGAAAAACATTAAAACCTTTTTTAAAAAATTATTTTTCAATTAAATGATATCATTAAGTATATCTAAATTTTGAATTAAAATTATCTATTAATGATTAATAACGACTTTGAATAGACTTAATGAACGATCGCACAAGATTTAAAAAAAATTAAAAATCATTTTTATAGTTAATAATTAATATTATTACATGATATTTTTTAATCTTACATATTATTAAATAAAAGAATTAAAAAAATACTATGTAAAAATTGAACACATAGCTATAAAATAATTATATTTGGAGTTGGATCAAACAGTAATAAAATTTGGGGTGAAGCAAAGAAAATGGCGGGCGTGGAGAAGTAGGCAATGAGGCTTAGCTGTCGCTCAAGGGAATTTTGGTGTTGTTTTTGATTGGGAAAAATGCCATAAATGTGAAATTGAAAAGGGGTTATTGGGAGGTTCTAAAGTCGTTGTCTGGCGTTCTATATCTATCTCTCTCGCTTTCACAGACAAATGAATGGCGTAAAATTTGGGGGATTTGGATTTTGGGATTTCGCCGTTTGGGGATTTTGGGGGTAGGTGCTTCTCTCTCTCTCACTGTCGCCTTTGAATTATTTTCCTCAACTAAACTGTTTTCTTACTAATCTTTTTACTGTACACCCTTTTAATTCCTTTATTTATCACTGGTGTTTAAGCATTAATTGTGATTTATAGAAACATTCCAGATTTTGATTCTTCGGATGGAGGTTGGGCTGTCTTTTGGGAGTGGATTCTAAGCAAAGGCTTGCTTTCAGATTATTTTTCAAAGGACAATAAAAAATAACCCTCATTTCTTGTTCATCCAACAGCTCGACGACGACGACAACAAAAAAGTAATGGATTAAACCACCAACTGAATTGAATTGAATTGTGTTGTGTTGGAGTTGATGATGGATAGGAGGAGTTGGCTATGGAGAAGAAAGTCTTCGGAGAAGAGTCCAGGTGAAACTGATAGCACTTCAGCTGGTTCCATTTCATCTCATTCTGAACGATTCTCGGACGAGCATGTATATAATTTTCTTTTCTTTTTACTTGGTTTTCTTTATCATTTTCAATTTGTATGAAAATATAAAACCCTGCAATTTTTATTCTTCAACTGTGCTGTAAGTATATCCAATGTTGTTTTGATCAAACTTAACACAATTTGATTGTTTAGCCACACTGGATGGTGCTGTAGGCTGCTTATTTCAAAGAAATAATCATTCTCAAACCCCAATGAGATCGATTGTAGTTGGGAACTTCTTATAAATTTTTTGAAGTTAATGCTCTTTGAGTATCTATGTTTCCTCTTTTAGTAAAAGAAAATTGTCATTCAATCCGCAAGTCAGAAGAGCCCTCTATCTCCTTTGACAGACAGAAACAGATTATAGATCACTCTGTTAGATCCTTGCAAGGTTTAGAAGGCTGTTATTGGAATTTTCCCCCGCAATAGATTATTATTAATCAGCCTTTTTTATTGCACAAGCATTATTGGCCAGAGTCTAGTTCTAAACTTAATGAAGGAAATGAATGATGATGGTTGAGGGTCATGCATTGAAGTTGGGCCAGAAAGTGCTATATGGTTGATTCACGCCTCTGTCATCGGTTTCATCTTATTTTCCATATTTTTTTCAAATATCTTGGAGGTTATAGTTTGCACGTATAATACGTTTTCCAATGAGCTACATAAGCTCTACAAAATGTCCCTTGATTGTGGTATTATCTGCTTGTCTTTGTAATTTTCTTTTCACATTTGTATGCTTGTACGTAATGTTTTTTCGTTTCAGCTGGTTTGGTTGGAGACAATCTGACATTTCTTTGTTTTCAAAGGCTAATGCCACCATTGGTCCTCAATCAGTGGAAGTCGCATCAAAATCCATAGCTGTCGATGAAGAAAATAATAATGTGAGATCTTTAACAGAGAAATTATCTGCTGCTCTTATGAACATCAACGCCAAAGAAGACTTGGTAAAGCAGCATGCTAAAGTTGCAGAAGAAGCTGTTTCAGGTGTCTTTTCTGTAAAAAAATATTATAGCCTTTTGTTTGTAGAATAAATAACTTAATAGGAATAATTTTTTTCTTGGTAGCATTTTTTTCTTGGAAGTATCTGAGTTTTCTTTTGTTTATATATCTATATCTATATATATATATATATATACATGTTAGGAAAATCTGCTGCAACAGAGAACTTAATTGTTTGCTTTATCATGCAAATTTGAATTTAGGTTGGGAGAAAGCTGAAAAAGATGTGTTAGCTTTGAAGCAACAGCTTGATGCTGCCATGAAGCAAAATGCGGCACTTGAAGATCGAGTTGGTCATCTTGATGGGGCACTCAAGGAATGTGTCAGACAACTTAGGCAAGCAAGGGAAGAGCAAGAGCGGAAGATCCATGAGGCTGTTGCCAAGAAATGTCACGAATTGGAATCTTCTAAGTCTGAGCTTGAGAGTCAGATGCTGGACCTCAAGGCTCAACTTGAATCCGCAAAAACAGACACTGCTGCCTCAGTTGATCCTGATCTTCATCTGAAGCTCGAGGCATTTGAGAAAGAAAATTCATCCCTTAAACTTCAGTTTCATTCTCGAGCTGAGGAGCTAAAACTTAGGATTATTGAGAGGGACCTGAGCACCAAAGCTGCTGAAACTGCAAGCAAACAACATTTGGAGAGCATAAAGAAGTTGGCTAAGGTTGAAACCGAGTGCCGCAGGCTAAAAGCCATTGCTCGTAAAGCATCCCCTGCTAATGATCAGAAATCTTACACTGCCTCCTCGATTTATGTTGAATCTTTTACAGATAGTCAATCAGACAGTGGTGAGAGGCAACTTGCTGTTGAAACTGATATGCAAAAGATGAATGGGTTAGATATGAATGAAGGCGGGAAAAGCCTCTCAGATGCATGGGCATCTGCACTCATTACAGAACTCGATCAATTTAGGAAGGAGAAGGCTGTTGGAAGAAATATCATGGCCCCTTCAGTAGAAATCAATCTCATGGATGATTTTCTTGAAATGGAAAGGCTCGCAGCTTTGCCTGATACAGAAAGTGGGAGTGGTTTTAATGAGTCTGGTCCGTTATCTGATCAAACCACTACAGTTGTAAACACATTAAAGGCTGAATTGGAAACCTTAACACACAGGGTTGCTCAACTAGAGGAGAAACTAGCGCTGTCTGAAGAAGAAAAGTTGGAATTGCAGATGGCTTTAACCGAATCTCAAAAACAGCTTAAAACATTGCAGAATCAACTAAGCGAAGCCGAGACAAGGTTCAAAGATGTGCAAACTCAACTAGCTCTTGATGACAACTCAAAGAAATCCGTAGAGGAGGAAGCAAAAGTTGCAAACATGAATAGAGAAGTGGCGGTATCAAGACTTAGAGATGCTGAAATTGAAATAAAGACTTTAATTTCCAAAGTTACTTCGTTAGAAGAAGTGTTCAGAAAGGAACAAGCACTGTCAGCTGAACTAGGGGAGAAGCTAGCGCTGACCGAAGAAAAAATGTCGGAATTGCAGATGGCTTTCACTGAATCTCAAAAACAGCTTAAAACATTGCAGAACCAACTAACTGAAGCCGAGACAAGGTTCAAAGATGAGCAAACTCAATTAACTCTTGCTGACAAATCAAAGAAAGCCTTAGAGGAGGAAGTAAAAGTTGCAAACATGAATAGACAAGAGGCAGAATCAAGACTTACAGAGGCAGAAACTGAAATAAAGACTTTAATTTCCAAAGTTACTTCGTTAGAAGATTTGTTCAAAAAGGAAAAAGCATTGTCCGCTGAAAACATGAGTAAATGCAAAGAATTGGAGAATGAACTTTCTAAAATGAAATGGGAAGCCAAACTCCAACACGAGTCCGAGTTCCAACATGCGGCAAGATATAATGAAGAGTTGAAGGTGCAGCAGGTTAGTTATTTACTATGTTTATTAAATTGTAGAAATTGCTTAGAATGCATCAAAAGAGAAATCTGTTCTTTTAAAGGTGCAAAACTGCTTCACATCAGTCTATTTAGTAAGTTGGCATGTTTCGATAGCATTATTTCATGTAGATTCAAGTTGGTGTAGACCCTCAAAGGATCCTTCAAAATACATGGAAAACATTTTCTGTGAATAAAAGTACATGAAAAAAACTTAGAAAATAAGCATACCGCTGTTTTCCATTTATATGTATTCGACCTTCATACCCAAGTCTAAATAATTCCTCATGTGCAGTGATAATCTATTCCTCCCACACATGTAATTTCCCTTTTAGTTTCTCCCAGAACCATGGACTTGCTCATTGTGTAAATTGCTATTGGAGTATGGAGAGTACCTACTTCAAGTGATGATTTTTGGTAACAAGGTGAAAGATATATTACAGTCAAATCTGCATACCAATATCCAAAAATATATCAGATATGGATACTTCAGAAAAATGAAGAGTCGAGTAAACATGGTTGCTAAGTAAACTGACATAGGATGTGACTGAGAATTCCATTTTATTTCTACAAAAATCATTCAAAGTGTAATTTCTTCCACGTATGATAAAATTGTCAATTGGCACAAGCATTTATCAACTGTTAGTTGTAAGGTTATAAACATGTTACTGGTACTATGCAGGACAAGGAGCTAGCTATTGCTGCCCGTAAATTCGCAGAGTGCCAGAAGACGATTGCGTCTCTCGGCCTGCAGTTGAAATCTCTTGCCACACTGGAAGATTTTCTGGTCGACTCTGATAAGCCACCGCAGCTTGCGGATGGAGGATTAAAGTATCCCAAAAACAATGAGGCGCAACCGAAACCGAGTCCTACTGGTACAGTTCTTCCGAAAAGAGGCTCTTCAGGGTATTCTAAAGTAGGTGAGTATGCTAAATATTCAGAGAATAGCAATGCAAAGGAATCAACATTGCCAGCTAAACCAGTCATTACTCGAACCAGTTTCGGTAACATTTTCCCACGAAGCAGGAGCGGGAAACCGGCTTGAGTATCCGTCAATCGAATTTGTTTCTAGAACCAAATCGTTGGCTTAATATTTGTGAATCAATAGGTATATATGAAAATCACATGATTATTGAATGCTAAGGATGAAAAGAAACAACCGAGAGAAAATATAGTACACATATATAGCATTTCTTTTTACCATTTTCACTTCACTTGCATTTCTGTTTATCATGTTTGACTGAGCTTTTGGGTCAGGTTACTGGAAAATAAAATAAATTCATTCCAGGTGAAAGAAAATGAGTGATGTAAAGATTAATATTATTTTATTCATCATCTTACAATTATTATAATGGTAAAATATGCTTGAATTTAGATGGATATGTTTCATCATTCAAAGCTCTAACTTGAATTCAGTTAGGCGAATTTTTCAATTTTATAATGTTTTTAGTTTTATTTTTATATATTATGTAATTTATTTCGTATAAACATGGATAAATTTGATTAAGTGTATAATGTAAATGTAACTGATATTATACATTGACTTAATCTGAATTTGGTGTGACACCAAATGACAAAATAAATTTAAAATAAAATATAGTAATATTTTTATAAAAATAAAATAATTCAAATTTAAAACATTTTTATAAAAAAGTTAATATAATGTAAATTCAAAAATATTGATTATATAATATTAAAAATATTGATATTATTTAAATTCAAATTCAAACATCACATTTTTTATAATCTATCAAGTGACCTCAATGATAAAAGGAATGTTATTCTCCTCAAAAGTTTAGGGTTTGAACAACTACATATGTAGGATGTGTGTACGTTGTCAATGACTAAGAAAGAATAATTATAAAAATTAAATATACAACGAATTCAATTTAAGAAATGATATATTATTAAAATATTATTCATATTATTTAACTTATTTAATAATAATATAATATTATCTGAAAATAAATTTTATTATATATATATATAACAAGTTTTCTACCATAACCACCCAGCTAATTCAAGGATTTTATCCTTTTACCCCTTTAATTTTCAATTCTTCAATGTTAATGTATGGAATATAATTCTAAGTTTTGTTTCATTTATTTCATCCCATATTGTTATATTCATAAGTATAATGTGTTTAAAATATTCATAGTCCGCAGACATAATTAAGGTCCAAAGTAATATAGATAATATTAATTTAAGACCACATGACCTCTAACTTCACCTTCATTGTTCAGTCTCAAATTCTTTAACAGAAGAGTTGGATCATCCAGTTTATAGCCATTAAAACACCAGCAACAAACCGACCCTGTTTATCAGTTTTGAAGCATAAACAAAAGTCATATCGTAATCGATAAATCTGATTAGCTATGTTAATCACCTGAAACGCAGTTTCAACTGCTAATGATTTTTAAGAGATGATCCATTTCTGCTCCTAGCCCCCTACATGAATGAGCAATACTGTGTTTATTGCTATATATACCAAGTCAGTTGCAGAAGGTCATTTCATCATTGAGAATAAACTATGAAAACTACCAAATAGTTTTGATGTCTGATTACCTTCCCGCCGCTTTGTGCTGGTTCCCATCCTGCACTGCTCAGTTCTTATCGAGTAGATCATAGAAAACTTTCGGCTTTCTATAGTCCGAGATGCACAGGACCTGAAACCAAATGTTTTTACATTTTAGCCATAATTATGTACCAACTAAGATACCACAAAGACACCAGATTCCATACTTTTCGGAGGTGTTGAATTTGAAAACTGTAGTTCATATTCTATGCCAGAATATGGAAGATGAAACGAATAACTACAGTCAGAAAAGCAAGTGGCTTACCTGCATCGCGTATGCAATATGCATTAATGTAGGTTCCGACCACGGTTTCCCAATAAATTGAAGGCCAATCGGCAAACCTGCTTTGTCATAGCCGACCTATCAAGCAGACAAGGAGAAACGGTATTAATTAGTATAATTGCAGTGTTTGAATGAAGCAGATAGCCATTAACTAGCAATATAAAAAAATTACAAGGATGGGTAGTTATAAGGTTCGTACAGGAACAGTCACAGCAGGTAATCCCAAAAATTTTGGTGCTATTTGATATCGGATAAGGGCAGCTGAAATAACGAAAAAAATTGTATACTTCCATTCTCATGTAGACTGAGAAAGAAGATTTAAATGTAAAAGAGCATCATCGATTATCGAGTATGCAGTCCGACTGTCTCGACAAAAAGCTCATTTAACTAAGGCACTATAAGACTAGGTCTTGGAGATGGAAGTTGAAGTGAAATGAAGGTGCCAATGATTTTAGAGCCTCGAGGAAGAAAAAAAGAACTCTATTAAAATAGATGTGTAATTCTGCAGTAAAAAACATTTTACCCTGTTGTTGGAGCAACAATGACATCTGCCATGGCGAATATATTGTTATGAATCTGCATCTGGCGGTATCTGCATATGTGTAGTCAAGCTTAATTATCATAAAAAACTTGTAGAATCTAAAATCATAACCCATGTTACTCGGATTCGGGTGCAAATGTTGCACATGAGTATGTGCCTGATATGTTCAATTTTTTCTAATATTCTTGGTATTTGGAGGCTCGTTAAGGATCATATCCCCTTACCTATGTCCAAGTACGATTTGAGCAAGGGTGTCAGACATGAATACTTCAAGAAAAAGAGAAGAGTCGAAGTAACATAGGTCATAACTTTGTCTGATAATTTGAAGCATGCAAACATATATATTGACTGCTAATCTAATACTGTTGACACTAACTTATTACTACTTGAAACTGTTTCTATTCACAAGTGAAAAGACTTTTGAGCTCTTTAGAAAATAGAACAAATGATTGAACTGGAAAAAACATTATCTAATTATTTATTTAAAAGTTGTAACTTACAAAACAATCAATTAATTAATTAAATATTGGTTACAATTTACCTCATTTTCTGCAAAATCACTGTTTAAAAAAGTTTATAGTGTAAGATATGAACTTTAAAATCCTAGATAAAATGAACATAAAAGCATATTATGGGGATTGAAGTCCAGAAGAGAACTTGACAGTTTTTTCATATGAGAACTCAGTGAAGTGCAGCATTCTGAACTAATGGTCACATAATGTGCAAGGAGCATTGATTCTATATCTGGTATAGTAACCCCTACAGTCTTGTGAATGGTACAACTTTTCAGACTAGTGAGAAATCACTTGTAATCAACTAACCATTCAATTTATTGCATTTTATGCCAATTTGTTTTTATTCCACAGGAGGTTTATCATCTGATTAGGTTCTAACTTTTAATAAAAGGGAGGTTGATTGCTCAGTGTGGTCTATTTACGACAAATTATAATATCAAAACATGGGCATTCATTGCTTGAAAATTGCATCCACTGTTAATAACTTCCACTTGTAATGCTCACAGAGCAAGTTCAGAGCATCGGAGCAGCATATTCTGATTTCATCGCTGCAGTCATTGAACCACTAACCGAGCCAATCAATGGTTCAAAAAATAGAATGTCAGGAATTAGAAACCTCCATGTTTTAAGCCATAATTGATGATAAAATTGAACTTAAGTTAATTGCTCATAATTACATCACTAACCTCTCCATATTTGGCAAACCAGATGTTTGATATTGGATTTGTTGAGTTCATCAGTGGAAAATGCACTTTGGGATGGAAGTATCCATGTGCCAAGGAAAAAGAAAGGCAAAAGCTGTCCAAGCTTAGAATGGTTCATATACATACTCTATGATTCACCAGAAAAAAGTAAGTTCGAACTGGACTTATTACAGTAAAATATGATCATTATGAGCCAGTCATTCTTTCGGCATTTTATGACAGTTTCCTCATTCTTGTCTTAAAATGCCATGTTTATACTATTTCGGTAAACTCAACTGCAGATTTTATACTCCAATTTTGACTTTAAAAAAATGTATTATACTCAATATCAAAACTAGAAGGAAAAGACGTGCTTGTATAGGAAATTTGTTTGGTAAATAATTCATATCAGAATCAGCCTTCTCTTAAAAGGTTAGAAAACACAACAAATACCCGCAATTTGTAGTGGTCTTAGAGCATGTACTTACAGGTAAAGTGGTTGGCTTATGTGACGGAAGTTAACCACTAATAGCAGCATAACTGAAAACAGAAAACTGATCAGAGTCCATTTACGACTAAAGATGTTCTATAAAAGTTAAAAGGAAATCAATTTATAGTTTGAGAGAGAATACTTACACGATAAATGCATCCTCTAAGGTGGCTGCTAGTATTCCAACTGTCCCCACTGTCCAGTTCAGAGGAAGAACACTGGAAACAGCATATGAATTTTCAGATATTTTCTAAATTTTACAAACTACAGAGTTATTTTAATTAAATAAGTTCTCACCCTGAATGAGGTATACACCCAAAAGTAGGTTTGAAGCCAACAACACCACAAAGGGATGCAGGCATCCGAACAGATCCTACAGAGAATCCATAGATGAAGCACATTAGCCCTTTAAACTTATTCATATAGTACAATGGTGTATAGAATAATGTAGCATAATCTTTTTTTTTAATTATAAAGAAACCAATTGACTTGAAATACAAACTAAGCTACAACCACTATAAAATAAGGAGGGTGATAAATAACGATTCCTTAGGGTGATAAATAACAATTCTTGTGCATATCTTCTCAAAGTAACAGGAATGAAATAACTCTCACTCCTAGTAGACTTATATAATATTGAAGGACAAAAGTCTTGGGATAATAATATCATGTGAAACCATGACAAATTCCACATGCTTCTTCCATGATGGAGGTAATAGTACTATCTATTATGTCATTATTGATGCATTAACTTAGAATGAAACTTTTAGTTAGTTTGAAAAATAATACTATCTACTCAAACTTTCTCATCCACAATTATATCAGGATTAAGGATTAGTGGTTTGATTCGGTTTATGTTGACTTTCTTACAAAGCTATCGTAATGCTAATATGTTTTTTTCAGAATCATTTCAAAAAAAAAACATTTCATGATTTTTTACTTTTTCTGTCAAGGACGAGTTTTTACCTCCGCTATCCACACCAAGAGCAACAGGGCATAACCCTGAAGATACCACTGCAGCAGATCCACTCCAAGAACCACCAGCAATTTTGTTGGGATCATAGGGATTTCTAATAGGCCTGTAGCAATCACAAATTTTACATAATACCAACTTTAATATCTTTTAATGGAAAGAACTTTGACAAGAGAAAGGAAATGTTAAATTTAGCGACGTTGGTTGACTGTAAATTA